CTGGAATCAGTCACATCTGACCTACTGCTGTCATTCTGGCATCTGTGTCTTGCAGGTCCACAGGCCTTCAAGATATGCCTTCTTCAGAATTCTGCACTCTCATCTTCTCTCCTCCACTTCTGTCTGTGTCTGCTGAGTTGGTGTCTCTCTGAGTGGTAAATAATTTAATACTTGGGCAGTCCTTTTACTGGCTTCTTTCAAGAGCCCCCTTCAAGACACCTAGTTTAGATTCAAGTGTTCCTTTCACCAGCTAGATCTTCTGTCAGATGGGAAAAAACACCCTTCATTTTAAAAACAATTTTCCTCTACATCTGTGAGTGGAAGCTGGGAACCAAACAGAGCACACACCATCTGATCTATTTTCTCCCCATTGTGTACAAAGGAAATTTATCAAACTGACATGGAGAGGATAGCATAGTGGCCTGATAGCAAAACCTGACTCCCCCAAACCACAGGGTCTCGTGGCTTTGTTGCAAGAGAAGAAAGCACTTTATGTGGCGTTCCTACAAAGCTCTCAGGGAGCGGGCAGACCACCTCATAGATACCACTGCTCATAATTTAGGGGAAATTAAAAAAAATCTATAAGATCAATGAAACTAAAACTCAGTTGCATTCATTTGCCTGTCTGTTCTGTTTTGTTTTCATTTTCCCTTTTCAGTGGAGGGGAAAAACCAAGTCAGTTCTTTCTCAATGGGCTTTGTGGATCCTAGCAATGTAATGTGACAACTTGATTCTGAAAAGAGCCTTGCGGCAGTCACTTTTTCCACTGGGTGGGGTCGCTGCTGATCAGGGTCTCAAGAAACTTGAAGAGTAATCACATGTAGACTGAAAACAGTAGTGAGTGGGTAGCCCTCAAGGAGAAGCAGATCTGGAGAGAACGATGGACAGATTGAAATTATTCCTGTATCTGGCAATCATTCTACTTCCCCATTATTGCTATACACCAATAACTATGTATGTAGCTTAAAGAGTCAAGAAAGGACGCCCTTCTTACAGTCAACCCTAGAAGACCATGGCAGGAAACCAGAAGATGGAAAGGACCACAGAAATGCTTTTTATTAAGTGAATGAAAGAATACAACATAGATGTCAGCAATCTCAAAGACAATGCATTCTCTTATTAGGCTTTCATATTTAGACAAGATGTGGGGAAAATGGAGGCTAGAGAAATATTTTTTTGTAACCACTGTGAATGATACATCCCATGTTCTTTACACAAATAAAGTCTTATACTGCCATTAAGGATATTTTTTTCTGATTAGACCAAATTTTCTCCAATCTCACACTAACTGGGTTTGGCTTGAGACTGGTAATGACATAGATATAGTTAGTACCAGAATTTAGCCCTAAAATTAACCTCAGTGAAACAAACTCTGAGAGATTAAAGATTGTCTCGATGTCTGTCTTGTGAAAGCTATCATCCTAAAACCACACACTTGCTTGGATCATGCAGGGAGGGACTAGGGATGTAAGATAAAAGGATGCCTGCATTTTGGAATATGTATTAAGAGATAGAAGAAAAAAAGGTGATATTGATTGTCCAGATGAGGACATATTATGAAAAATAGTCACTGTGGGGAACATTTAAATTTCCAATAGAAATATTATAGCAGTGTTCATCAAGCTCTGATAATCCCAAACTGATGTTATTTTGACATTACTAGATTATAAGGTAAAGATACAAATTAGAAAGGCCTTTTGGGATGTGAAAGAATACTGGGTAGCGTGCGTTAGTCTTGACACTGAATCTGTTTACATGGTGACCTGGCTTGTCTCTTATTGGTTGTACTTGTTTCTGTAAAGCCAGTCTGAAATACTGCAGGTGCTCCAGCTGATACAGAATGCTGTGCAAGGTCTCATGGGCTACAAACGAAATGGTCCGATGCCAGCTGGACCCTGCTTCAGGAGATACAGGAACACGAGGGATGTCATATAATCTGACTCAGCGACTTCCTGCTTAGGAGCCCCTGGGGTGTGTAAGAAAATAAAATTCTGGATTTAGCCTCAAGTTCCTCTTCCTAGATCAAGTTTATGCATATAAAGCAGATCTCAAAGATATTGACTCTTTTTGCTTTGGAGGTATACCTCTGTATGTGTGTTAAAAACATGATTGTCTGTGGTGGATGTACCTCTGTGTAAAGATAATAGAATGTGTAGAAAAATTGAAGTAGCCGTTACTGAACAGAGCATGGGAGACATGAGACCTGAAAATATTTATTTTTTCTACATGTCCTAACAAACAGCCATGGAAACATCACCCTTAAGAAGGATGGACTTAAGGAACTAATTTTTAAAGTAAACAGATTTTTAAAGAGAAACATAATATAGGCTGATTTTCTTCTGTTAGAATTGCATTTTAATAGCAGAGTTCAATAAATGAAATAAGAAGATAGATACAAACACATTTCTTTTATGCAGGAAGATATGTTCAGAAATGCCATCTTTCTAAATGTTGAGTGATATTATTATGCACTAGGAAAAAAACTGCTTACATTTGGAAAAGGCATTCAAGTCAAGTCAATATATTTAGGCAAAGGTACATAATTACGGACTGACCAACACAAGGGACTTGCAGAATAACACAGCATCTGAAATTCCTGCAAGGAAAATACTGATGATGCAAAAATCAGTTAGAGTTGGGCCTGAGAGGATCAGGGATTCAGCACTATGAATTGGCTGATTTCCAGTACACTGGGAACAGTAGAATCTAATAAAAATCTAATAAAAATTACAGATAAAATCTATACTGTTAGAGGTGAAGTCAGCATAGTCTAAGTGGCTCCACATGAGGGGAGAGACAAGCATCTGGAAAGGATTTGTGTTACTGGAAAAGATTAGGGTTATGGGAAAGGGTGGGAGGTCCATGTGGTAGGTTCAACCGATACTGTTTTTAGGAATAAGCCTGGGACTATTACAGAGCTACTGTTTCTCCCATTGATCTTGGCTGAAAACAGTCAGCAAATCATGTATTGAATCTGGGTTTTCACACCTATGGAACTCATCCAAACAGATGCCTAGCAGGAGCAATAGACTGCAAAATAGCAGTAGTTCATCCACTTGGCAACCTGGATCAAATGTTATCATGTCTGGTAATCTACACAACTCCCAGGCTTTCAGAATCATTCCTAGGGTATGTCTATCATAGCAAGATGCTGGATATAGATGTGGGGTCAAGACTAGCCACAAAAATTGATAACTAAACAGAGCAAAAGATTTTGATATGCTACGCTATTTAATATCCTCCCTCTCTTACCCAGTGTTAGAAAGCCATAATTTATGCTGGTATAGAAGATACTGGGCCCATTTCTAGACTGAAAGAATAAGCATTTGAGCCACTGGATCATTAATTCTGAAATCCAGGTAAATTCTAAACTTGGATCAGCGTTTGGAGATAGTCTTTACTAAGCTGGCATGGAACAAGCCCATGGGGAAGATAAAATGTAAAAGTTGTCAGGGTAGCAGAGAATGGAGACACAGTTGTTCAGGTTGCTGGGACAAGGTGTCTCTCTATCCTCTGCAGCTGTGCTGTGAACTGCAGAGCAGAGCAAAGCCTTTCATTTTAGAAAATTGACACCACGGCCTTCTCTGCATGGCTGACTCAGTAATCACAGTTGAGTTATCTGTTCCTATAAAAAAATGAAATCTGGAAATTTCTGTACTTAAGAAATAACTGAACATTTCTAAAAACAAGCCATAATTTGAGAAAACTATAGAGATAAATACACATAAAAGCAGTATGTTCTGCTCAACTTCCTCATAGGAAAGTTACGAAAAGAGCAATATTTAGGGGCAGAACCACCACGAATTTACATCTCCTGCCCATTCCACATACAGAGAGCAGGACTCAGGCAAGTCCAAAATAAAAGAATCTTTTAAAGCAAACTTCCAAGGACCTATTCTTAATTTTCTCCTTTGGAACAAAGCTTTATTTTGTCTTGACACCCACTGCTCCCCCATACATCCTCAGCCCAAGCTGAAAAGGAACAACTGCTACAGAAACACCTACTGCAAATAGCTGTAGTAGCCTCTGCAGAAGAGGGGTCAGTTTTACACCCACGGTCTTCTAGATCTTGTGGTATTTCTTTCTGCTGTCTTCCCACTGTTATTCATCATCTCGGATGCTTATCTGTTCTCCAGATAGACAGCACTTGCCACAGGTTCCCTCTCAAGAGAACATTACACTGCTCCACTGGGATCAAGGACCCTCTGGCATGAGGCTAACTTTCGTTTACTCGAATATCCAAATTGGTGTTTTTAACTAATCTTTTCCAAAACAGAAGTAAGCTATTTTCTCTAGGTCAGTCAACTCTCTCTGCAAATATATAATTTAAACTCTGGTAGCTATTAAAAATGAATTATATGATCAAAGAAACTGTCTAATAAATAAGTGGAAGGGTTTCTATTTTCTTAAGGTTTCTTGAATTCCAAATGCACTTTACTGGGTAAAAGTCAAGCAAGCATCATACCAGATTGTCCTTAAATCTGAATACCTAATAATTTACAGTTATTATTTCTCCTGATGTGGAATCCAGTTTCTATAACCTATCCTAGTACTTGCCATCACCCACCCCACCATACCAATTACTTATCTTTAATTCTAAAGAATCTCTCATGAAAATATCAATGTCCTGGAAAAAGTTCAGATACTCAAATTCTTGTTTATCTTCTATGAAAGTTTAAGAAATATGTTTAAACTTTTGCCATGAAAATATTTCTAAAAGAAAAAGAAAACCAGCCATGTTAATCAGAAAGTCACCCTTCCTAAGATGGTTACTTGACAAAGCTATGTAACCAGCATTTCAATACCACAGCAAGAATGGTACGAGCCCCAGGGTTTTTGTAAGAATCAGCAAAGCTAAATGTTACCATGGTTGCACAACACCATCAGGACCACATAGGCACACTGGTCTTATGTGCAGTGTGAACATCAGCAGAGGATGGTATCATCACACAACAGGCAATTACACTAACACTGCAGCAAGAATTACAAAGTGGAAGATCTTAGAAGATCTGGAGCTTTAAAAATTCTGTGCATTTTTTCACTTGAAAATGTTTCTATGGGGATATGAAGAAATGTAAAAAGCTAGTTAACCTTAATGGCTATTCTTAATTGTTGACATTAACATTTAATTGTTCTGTTGGGTCACTTTGGGAGAGATCACATGAAAACCAAAAGAATACCAAACTAGCTTTTTTCATTTTTATTATGAATTCCAGCTTTATGGATGAGCAGAGCTGGAGTTGCATAATAGTACCAGAAGTCAGAAGCATCCAGAAGCTTGAATGAAAGCAAGGCTGCACACTTCTGTCATCTCTTGAAATCCAAGGACACAAACTATCTTGACCACATCAAGGACAAGAAGAGAAACTTTGAAAACAACTTTCAATAGCTTGAAGGGGGAAAAAACTGACAAACCCCCCCTCAAAAACCAAAAAAAACAAAACTCAAACCTTGTCCACAGACAAGTTGTTCTCCCAATTCCACAGCAATTGTAGAATAGGTGCTTGGCTGGGATTTCTAAGTGTGCAGCCACCTCTCAGCTCTGTAAGACTGAAATGTGTGGTGCAGTTGTGTTTTATTTTTAAAACAGCAGAAGCACAGAGAATGGAAATCCCCTGAACATTTAACAAGTAGAAGGTCCAGGTCATTACAAATACAGCTGGAGTCAGTTGTCCATGCAAAGTACATTTATATTAAGGAGGGAAAAACATACCCATTCCGAGAGGTCACTGAGCTAGCAAAATAAGAAACAAAACAGTGAATGGATATTTTAGTGAGCACAGGATTTGATGAAAGCTTTCAAATCATTTGAAGAATCGGTGGAGGCTTACTACAGAAACCAGAAGCAGAACATGGTGAAAATCAAGTGGGTTAAGATGTCCAAGCTGGAGATTATTTTATCCCAACTAGTATAAGAAGTAGGATTACATGTGAATGCATGCTGTTACTCTTCCTTTGTCTACTGTTGATGCCACTAAGAAACAGTAAACACACAAAGTGTTGTAACCCAATTCTGACTTTCCCATGATGCCATTCACATTAGAAAAAATCTACCCAAGAAAAACATCCAGTACCAGGCAATTTGGAAATTCTTTATCTTAGAATTAGAATAATACATTAATCAACTTTTTAAAAATTAATTTTAAAAGGTTTTTGTTATGTTTTTTTTAGCATGATGCAATGTTTTCAAGATAGAACATTTTAAGTAAACACCATGCTATCAAAAAACTAGTCTAAAAATGAAATATAAGTTAACAATTCATTTCTTCATAAATAACATCTTACCAAAGAAACATTCAAATCCATCTATCACACAAAGTCCCTAAATTACATCAAAATTTGTGGAAGAACAGTGAGAAAGTACAGGGAAAGGAGAAATAGAAAATGAATACATTTTGACAATTAAGTGTGTGAAAAAAATCACATAAACCTTTAGTTTGTAGTCCTCTCACTTATAACAACATTTAATTTCTCAAAAATAATGGCTGGCTGTTTCAAGAAACATGTCTCGTGGAAATGATGGCATAACTTTCCTTCTGTGAAGGATTTTCCAGGAGAACCACCTTTAAAAAAGGTCAAAGTATATAATCAACAATTTCTTCCTCAGAGATGCTGTCCTGTGTAGACTTTGGAAGGTTATCTTTGCCCACACCAAAAGCAGAAAAAGAACAAACACATTTATTCATTCTGTCTAAATATAGGAGTCAAAGAACTAAGCACAATGCCTGATGAACAGGTCAGCATTTCCACAGGGACTCAGTGATGGGCTAAAGCTAAGCAGATACTCCAGAGGAACTGAGGCATTGACACCTTCCCATTTTAACCCGGTATATCACAACCATCAGGGATTGAACATCTAAACAAAGACCTCTTTCAGAGATGTTGCAACTCAAGTCCCAGATCTGTAAGAGATCTGCCTAGAATTACATTTTTAAGGGGTTTCAGTGTTAGGACCAAACCTAAACCCTCTGTCTCTCTGCTTCACTACTTGTCACAGTGACTCTGCAAGGGGAATTCTAATGCAGGGCAGATTTAAAGAAAAGATTCTGACAAGCATTTGCAGGTAAGAACAATTTGTCAAGAGATTTCTTATTTCATGAACACAAAAATATTACTGGTTTCATAATAGGAGCTGAAAATCAGCTCTAGATTTAAAAATGAATGGGGGCAGGATTCAGGGTCTTTGTTACTGGGTTCTCCCTTCTAAATAAAAATATGTCAAATCAAACTAATTAAGAATTTAATGGAATGAGACATGCTACCATTGCACCATGAGATCTTCAGTTAAGAATGGAATAGAGTGGTGTCCTGGTCTTAACAAAGTGAGGGAGAGACGGGGGTGTCCTCAGGCTAATACTCTGAAAAGCAATGACCCTGGAAAGGCAAAGAAGATACCTGAAAAAGTCACCAAGGCAGGGTTTTGAAGAGCTTAAGGCAGTAACTTTTTACCAACAAGTATTAAGTAACCTCATATTTTCGTACCTACTGTGGCTATTCTGGTGTAGAGTGGCTATCCTGCTTTAGGGCTTTGTTGTAGGCAAGCTAGGATTATATCATCATATGAAGACAGGTCACATTGTACTTTTATACAAAGAAAACGTTATAAAGTATTCTGAGAGTGTAATGAATTACCTGTTGTTGGAGGTGAACCATTATTTGTTTATTTTTCCTTTTTAAGTGTGTAATATTTTTAACATTGTAATTAGGTATCAAGCTGATTCACAATTACACACCCATCTCTGCCACAGGTCTTGTTCTCTTCCTAATCACGTATATTCTCAACTTCAAGTTTTCCTCTGATGATTAGAAGGGGAACCTCAAGACCTCAAAGTCAGGGCTATAAATGGATGACTAGTTGGGGTGACTTCTTCTCTTCTGTACAAAACAACAGGAAAGTAGCATACTTTAAAAGTCTTCACAAGAATAGCACAATCTCAGTCTGCTCCACTGCCTGTTTACAAGGTCACATGATCCTTTGTGCCAGCCCCTGGCTTCTCAACAGACATAGGCATGTCATCTTCAAGAAGGATCAATACATTATGAGCATGTCATATCATAGATGCGAATTTCTCTAGCAAATTCTCTGTATGGTATTCCACACTCTAAGTACAAGGACAATTGAAAAGAACATGAAGCTTGTATTGGAGTTAATGGCTAGTGTGTAAATTACACGTGGAAATAGAGAAGAACCCCTCTGAGGGCATTTATACTGAAGGTTCTTGCAGAGATGGTATCTTTCCAGGTCACATTTCTGATCAATGTTAGAAGGTTGAATGTATTAGCATACAAGATGTTTAAGTTTATAAAGTCAAACATAATGTTGTTTCTGGGTTATGGATAAAAAGTAACATTCACACTGCAACCATAGCCTTCATTGTATATAAATATGTTCATATGTGTACACACATATGTACATATGTGTATACATCCATATATCATGCATATTTAACCTTTCCTCTTAGTTGTACAAGCCTGACATTGATAAAGTCAGAACCCGTATAAGGAGAAGGGCAGTTAGTAAATGTGTCAAGCAAAGGCTTTAACTTCTAGAGGCATTGTTTCATTTAATGTCAGACCTATTTGGAGTTGGGCAGCACTAGATTTGATATGTATCTGGTCATTTCATAGGGGACTCCTTCCTTTGATGCAGTATGAATTTTCCTGAAAACCCTTGACTAGGAGGAAGGGGAGAGATAAAGGAAGAAGCTGTGTTGCCACCCACTCTGACAAGCAGTTGTGAGCACTGATCTCATTTGATGATCATTCTGTGTGGAAGGTTACACATTGAGAAGGTGACAATTAAGGCAAGGAAAAAAGAAAAAATAGTTTATTCTAGAGATCACCTGGTCAGAATAGGCAAGACTGAAAATATATCTGTGTGATTCTTAGGTGTGCTGCTGAAGTAAAATTAGTTATTTTTGAAGGGTGAAGGGATTGGGACATGGAGGGAAATGGACATTGTAATGGGCTCTCATTATGTTAAATACTCATGAACATTCCATAAACCAGAGGTCAACAAAAAAAAAATGTGAAAATACTTTAACATTTGCATGTAAGCATTTTATTTCAAATACCAGCCATGAAGTTGGCCTCACATCAAGTGCCTATTGTTTAGTAATTTCCCCAGAATAAAATTAGATAAGAGTAGATCAGGAGAAAAGTGATCCAAAGGTGAGATTAGTCTGGGCATTCTCCGAAAGGCACTGGACCTCTCTGCCCAGAGGCCCTCATAATTAATTCTCCCTTTCAACATACAGCTGGCTCTCATATGCCACTCGCTGCAGCTAAGGACATTTCAATAATAATTCTCCACTGTTAAATTTGGCTAGGTACCTTTGTTTTCATTATTCGCAAGATAAATTACTGCAGGAATGGTAAATCCTTACAAAAGGCTTCAGTACACTCGTCACGTGAAAGAGCAAACAACCAAACTCATTTTTTTAAAATGCCTGTTTTGCTGCACAGCAGTGAACAGGTGCAGCACACAAGGATCAATTTTTGACTAGAAGGAAAAAAAAATTATACTCTTCAAGGCCTTCTGTTTGGTGGCAGTCGTGATCATTACTGAAAGTAATACTTATTTAAAAGTAGTAAATGGCCATTTCCAAACAGAATGGCATGTCGTCAAAGGAGGCAGCATCCTGCTCACACATCCCCAGGCTCCCCTGGGTCTCATTATGCTCTGTCACGTTAGCTCACTTCCCTCTTTACTCTTTCCTTTTTATTTCTTAAACTTCTATTTCTTCTCTGCTGAGTATTATCTTCTAAAATCAAATTAACGGCTAATAGTAAATGTGCACAGTCACCTCAGGAAAGCAAAACAAACAGACTCAAGAGATTATATAAAAATAGCATTTCTCACACTAAAGACAGAGCCCAGATGGAGGTGTGAGAGGATTGCAGGTGGGTGCCAGGGCCTAAAGCTGTCATCCAGGTAACTGGCTTGTAGAGTCACCAGTGGATACTGAAACTATAATAATTTTGAAAAAATTCTTTTTCTTCTATCTCTAAGATTTCCAGTGAAGAATAGCAATGATAATAACAACAATAAGAACAGAAATATCTATTGGACTTTGTTTATATTTGGTAGAATAGCATAAAAAGACAAGATGAACCAATATTGTGACTATTATCCAATGAATAATTAATGTGGGGACAGATCAGTATGCTTGTCTTACCCCAGCTCTCTAGCCTGACTGTCTTCCAGGAGATCTGCCCTAACCAGGAACACAGGAGGACTGATCTAACCTGGGACATAGGAGGCCTACCATAGCCAGAGACAGCACTGCCTGCCTCCCAGGGGGCCTGCTCTAACCCAGGTCTCACAGCTTTACCTGCCTCCAAGGAGGCCTGCTCCAATCTGAGACACCCAGCTTCCATTTCTTTAAATTCTTCTTCTCCTTTCCTTGGGAAAATAAGTTGTTACTGGTTCTTCTTAAAGGTAAATGTAAGATTAACTCAGAAACAAAAAAAAATTACCTTCTAATTTATAGGACTCACCAAATGATTCAAGCTAAATGATGACTCCTTAGAAGCCCTTTGAAATATTCTCTTAGAACATAAGAGATTAAGACAAGAACCAAAGAATCATTCTGGGCATCTCTCTCAACTCTCTGTCTATTCTGGGTCCAATGAGTGGGCAGGATTCAGCATGATTTATTTGGGACCAACACTGGGACCAACTTAAAATCAGTCAGGTCTCTCATCAAAGATATCTACAAATGATGAATTTTGGAAAGAGGCTAAGTATATATTTTATTGTCTTATCAGCATTGGCAATATTGGGGGTACATTTAGAAATGAAGTACTGAGGTCAATGGAAGGAGGGAGTGGAGCCAAAGGAGGTGCAAATTAGTATTACCCAGGCCAAGGTTCTAAGGAACAGTGAAGAGTTATCATTGTGTTGTTGACTAAATCAGAATAATCTAATCAAAAGAGTGAAGAACCACAAACCTTTGGCATTTATGCTCCTGGAGATATAGACACTCTTACTATATAGGTGAGAGCATTCTGGCTCTAAGCCTTTAGAAGTCTTGTCTAAGATCACATTAAGGGCTGGAAAATAACCAAGATGTAAACATCAGCTCAATCATGTCTACAGTCACTGTTTCTTCAACCACAAATATATTGTGTATGACTTTATTAATGTCAAATTAGAATAAACTATGCTTCTTAGTAACTGCAAATAGACCCTCCCAGGAGCAGTATGTTTTCTGGGACAGAAGAAAGAAACTAAAACTTGTGAGGGCAGAGTGCAGAGAAAAACCACAGGAAAGCTTAGAGTCTTCTCTGCAACACACTTGTAGGTGAATGGAGGCTACTGAGATGATCTAGTATCTAAACTGGTTCCCTGAAGGATGAGGAGGGATTACACAGGGGAAGACAGAGGAGGAGGAGGAGGAGGAGGAAAGCTGTGCCACACTGAGGAAACAGCTGATAGGTAAGGTCAGAAGCACGGAGGGCTGGAATGCTGGAGGTAGCATGAGGGGTTTAGTGTGGCTGGGACACTGAGTGCTGGGTGGGATGTAGTGACAGATGAGGCAGAGAGCTGAATAGGGTTCACCAAATACTGTAGGGCTTTCAGCTGTGTTGGAGCGTTGAGGATTCATCTCAAGCTACTGGGGAAATGGAAGAATTTAAAACAAGGGAATACAATTAATTGGGCATGCATTTTAGAAAGAACGTCATGGCTGTTGAGGAGGAAGACTAGGAGGAGGCAGTTAGTACCAAAGGAATGAAAACAGTCAGTCTGTTGCCATATTCCAGAAGACAGAGTGTCATCAGACGGAGTACAGGGATTGGAAATGGGGCTGCTGAGATGCCGGATTTGAATATCCAGACACTACGATTATACTATTTGGTGATAAATAGACATAAATCAGTGGATCAATAGAGAGTAGGAAAGTAGAAAAATATTATAAAATATCTGGGCAATCCTCTGGCAGGAAAACCTTCTGGTAGATAATAGACCACTGATCTCAGTTTACCAGTTGTGACAACAGAATCTTAAGGGAGCCCTGTACTTGCTCATCATGTGTGAAATCAGCCTGAATTCTACAGGAGACTGTTGTAGGAAACTATTGTAGACTCCCAATTGATGGAACCTGGTTGTGTTCAACAAAAGTCATAAAATCTCAATGAGATTATCCATGGAAAAGCACCTGCCTCACAGGCATTTTTAGTCTCAAGGTGTTTTTGGACTCTCCATGTTCCCTGGTAGACTCTGAGGTAAGAGAAGGAAGAAGGGAGAGCAGCCAATATTAGTGGTGTGCTCATCTATTTTCTGAGGGAAGCTGGTAATTTCAAAGGAGAAAGGACTAGAGTTGCTGAGTAAGAGATATCTAAACTTGGAAGAAAGGTTTCCTCTCTCTACATGGAGGTTTTCCAGTTCTAAACTGGAGGGATGAAATGTCAAATATGCTTTTGGGATATGGGGTGATTGATCTCAACCCGGGGCATGATTCAAGTACTCACCCCTTCTCCACCATTTTCAACGGTGTTGGCAAGCATTTCTTGCAGTGCTCTGACAGATAAGGACTGTTCCAGCACGAAATTGCAGACACAGAGATCTGGAGGAATGTACTGTGGAAATAAAACCAGAGTGAGGATGTCGGCTCATACCAGTCAGGAGTCAGTCACACAGTGGCATCACAAACGCAGTGGCACCTACAAACTAGATTATGGCAGCTGGATGGAGGAATAGAAATGGAACAAAGTATCTCTCCCTGATTAAAGGATGAGAAGAAGCAAAGTGTCAAGGGTACAGTGGCCAAAATGTCAGGATCACCTTAAGTGCAGCCTGGTATTACCTACTTGAAGAACACACACACACACACACACACACACACACACACACACACACACTCATTTACACACACACTCACTCACACATATGCACACACACATTTACACACACATGTGCACACACATACACACACATACTTCCCCACACATTTACACACACACACACACACACACACACACACACACACACACACACACAGCCCTGCTGATTAAGGGGCAGGAGGTGAAGGAAAGACTCATCTATACTCAAGACTAAGTGAGTGAGGCTAAAGGAAGAAATCCACTTATATCCATAAGAATTCACAGGAGAAAAACAGAGAGAGAGTATGGCTATAGACTACAATGGTTACATAGGAAATTTGTTTATTTATAAAGAAAACCTTGATTGTGTCATGAATAAAGAGGCAGCAAGAAGATTAAAAGCTACATAACTCTAACTTTGAACAAGGAAAAAGTCCACACAAGAACTTGTGATCCCTATAGTAATCATTCTGCTATAATAGAGTCACTCAGCAGTAATCAGTTAACATCGTGACATTATCATTTGTTCTGGTATATTTCTCACCAAATGGCTAAAGCACCTATCCTGAACACTGCTGGTAATACCTAACACTCATCAAACGAGCATCTTCTCCATGTCAGGTATTCTTCTAAATGTTCTGCATACATTAATTAGCACACCTAGTCTGGACAAGCAGCCAGTAAGACAGGCACTCCTAAGGTCCCAGTTGATAGCCCAGGAAACTAAGGCACATGTCATTCAGGTCATCTGCATAAGTACTGTATTTGGCTGAGTGAGATTCACTCAGAGTCTGTCTCTAGTGTTTATGCATTTAACTGTATACTTTCCCCCATAACAATGAAGATAGTAATGAATTTTCTACAATTAGAACATTTTAGATTAGCAAAAATTTATGTATTACATTTTTGTAAATACAGTGTTTAATATTAATAAAGATAAAGCAAACAAACAAAACAGAGTTTTTGCCCTTAGGACCTTATAGTCCAGTTTCATAGTCCATCCTCTTCCTTGGATATACAACTTGTGACTTTCCTGAATGCCATCTTCCCTCTGCCAATACATTAGCACCATGAAAATAACAGCAATGAGAATCACGGGGCTGCTAGGTAGAAGACGGACATGTGTGGTAGTGCAGGCACAAGGGAGTCTTAGAGATAGCCTACATCTCAGTTTCTGGTTGAGCTGCCTGCTAGTCTATTGTATTTAGCCTTCAACATGAAACCTGTTTAAAGAAAAATAATAAAGATAACAAAGTGTCTTAACTGACAGAGAGTAATGACCTCAATCACACAATCAAACAGTCTCAAAAAGGAGTTAGCTATGAAATAACCAAGCGAACTACCATTGTATCCAGGTAGCTGTGCCTGACAGCCAGAATATCTTTTGTGGGTACATGTCTTCAAAGTTGACATCAGGTTGTTCGTGCCTGAGCATTTACCTACGTGTGTACTAATGATGAGTTACATATCCTCAAATAACCTTGGCTCTTGTGCTTCTGATGGAACACTCCCCCCCCCCACCTTTGTGAACTTTTCTAGAGAAACAGAGGGAAAAAATTACCTAAAAAGGAAATCTGATCTACCATGGTTAGGGAGGGGTAAAAGGGTCATCTTATCCCAAGCATGACCTGTCTACCTCATAAATATTCATAAAACCTTGAAAACAGTACACAGTATGGAACCACTGTACTGTTATTCCCGCTTTGGGACAGCTCACTCCAATCTCTCTTTGGAGTGCTTTCTTTGCTAAGTAAACCACTTAAACCTCATCTCTCAACTGCATCTTTCCTTTGAGAAGAACAGAAAAGTAGTTCCTCCACCTCCCACCGTCTGTTCTTCAGAATAGGAAACAGCAAATGACAGCTATTCCTAATGCTTCAAAATAGGCAAAGCTGTTTCCATGGAGTCTGATTTAAAGGTAAAGGTAGCCTGTTACTAAGAGTCAGATAACTTCCCAGACTTGTGTTTTCTATTTAAAAAATAAAGATCATGGTATTGACTGTTCTGAGTTCCTTTAATTTTCATGTTTGTGCATTTCTCATCTTTCCCCAACCTCATTGTCCTGAAAAATAAGAATTCACTGTCCTAAATATAAGATAGTGTCCTATATGTTGAATCTTCTGGGAATGTTTTCAATAAAGCTTTGAGACACCCATTGTTAAAGTATTAATCTGGGAATGGGCCACCCTATCTCAATAGCTGCTAAATACGGTGACTTCTATTTTTAAGTACTTTTCTATTACAGAGTTGAAGGAATTCTTTTCTTTTTTTCTTTTTCATTAGATTATTTTATTTATTTACATTCCAAATGTTGCCTCTCTTCCTCTAAGAGAGTGCTCACCCACAAATCCCTACCTACTCCTGCCTCACCCCTCTAGCATCCCCCTTCTCTGGGGCAACAAGCCTTCACAAGACCTCCCCTCCCATTGATGTCAGATAAGGCAGTCCTCTGTGATATATGTACCAGGGACCATAGACCACCATCAGCTCTTTGGTTGATGGCTTAGTCTCTGAGAGCTCTGAGAGGTAATGGTTAGTTGACATTCTCGTTCTATCTATGGGGTTGCAATTTCCTTGGGTCCTTCAGTCCTTCCCCTAACCCTTCTATAGGGGTCCCCACTCTCAATCCAATGGTTAACTGAAACTATCTGCATTTCTCTCAGTCAGTTGTTGGTAGAACCCCCAAAGGACAGCCATGCTAGGCTCCTGTCTGTAAGCACAGCATGGCATCAGTAATAGTGTCAGGGTTTTGTGCCTGCACATGGGATAGAGCCCAAGCTTGGTCAGTCACTGGATGGCCTTTCCTTTAGCCTCTGCTTCATTTTTGTCCCTGCATTTTCTATAGACAGGAACTATTCTGGGTCAAGCTTTTTGAAGATGGGTGGGTGACCCCATGTCTCAGCTGTGGACCATGTCTGTCTACCAGTGGTGGTCTTTTCAGGTTCCATCTCCTCACTGTTGGGCATTTAGCTAATGTCATCCCCACTGAGTCCTGGGAGCCTTCACATCTCAGGTCTTTGGGATTTTCTAGAGGTTACCCTGCCCTCCAACCCCAAATGCTACATATTTCCATTCATCCTCCTGGCCCTCTGGGCTTCTCTCCTGTATCCCCCCATACCTAATCCTGCCCCCTTTCCCCTCCCCTCTCTATCCAGGTCCTTTCCTCCTTCTGCCTCCCATGATTATTTTGTTCCTCCTTCTAAGTGAGTTTGAAATATCCACACTTGGGCCGTTTTTCTTGTTAAGCTTCATACGGTCAGTGAGTTGTATCATGGGTATTCTGAACATTTTGGCCAATAGAAGGACTACTGTTCTATTTAAGTTCTTTCTCCAAACGATCTGTCTAGTCAGGAAATCTAAAAGCCTAGTTGTCCTCGAATTCTGGTAGAACAGGAATTTCCCCAATTCTCATGTCAGTTTAACCAAAGAGTTTAATCTACAAAAAGTGTCACAGTTTTCTTTTTCTTTTTCACTTTTTTCTCCCCCTCTCTTTCCTGCTTTCTTTCTTTTTCTCTTTCTTTTCTGCTTCGTTTTCCAAGTACATTCCCACAGCAGGTGATTAACTCATTTTCACAGGACTCAAGATAGCCAGCAGCTGACTCACATCTAGAAGGGTTCAAAGTAGTGAGTGCTGTTATAAGCAGTGCACAATTAGAAGATCAACTATTTCCCTGGAGACTTTATGCTGTGAGCATATACTACCCAACACAGTATCTCAAAATGTGCCATTTTAGGAGATTTTATAGAGGTGTCCACCTGGATTTCATGTCACCAGATCATAAAATGAAAACACATAGTCTTTCCTCCTCCTTGGCTTCCTTAGACCATATGGTTTGGAGATTTTTCTATTCAGAAATGTCTGCAGCTAACGTTTATATTTGAAGGGGGCTTTTGGACTAGTTAATTAAATGGCCTCATTATGCATATCTTTAATAGGTAATTTATTTAACTGATTTCTTTCATAGCCCCAAGTATTTGAGATCCTTTCTTACACTAGATTACCTGATTTGTCAACCTTTTCTCTCCATATGGTTTGCTTGGAGAGGAGATATGAGCTCTTGTCTCTGCTATCACTCATTAAGATTGATAATATGGACAATTGGCATGCTACAATTATATCTGTCCTTTCCCTCTGGGTATTAAATTATCAAGAAAATCTTTCTTTCATTAGTGGTATAAATTTAAACAGGGAATAGTTTGCATCAGGAGGATATATATCAAATGGGAGAATCTTAAAGATCCTCATGGTTTTGTTTTTGTATCTCTAGCATGTGGCCCCTGCCTGTAACTCTTTATATTTGGAAAAGCAATCATATTACTTTAATAGCACACAGAATAATGAATGTGTGGGCAGTGTCAATGGACAGAACAGAGTAACAGAAATATCTTGAGAAAAACAAAATGCAACCTATGACATGAATGAGCACAGAGTCATCTGACCCACTGTGCCAGCTGCCATCCTTAATTAAACTCCAAACTGGACCGAGTTCCCACCTCTCCACCCCTGAAGAATGAGCAAAGGCTACTCGCTCATCAAAGCTCATTTGTCTGCAGCCAGGAAAGTCTCTCAAGAGGCCAGCTGATTGTCTCAATGCTTAGGAGCCTGTGCCTCAGTCACTCTGTCTGCCAGACATCAGGCACATATTTGATGATTCTCAGCACGGAGGAAAAGGCTCTGTTGACATCTGTTCTGAAATAGTTGCTCATCATTCTCCCAGGCCTGTCCTTAGGCTACACAAGCACTTCATTTCAGTGTC